CTATCATGGATGAAAAATTTTCTGACTGATAGAAAAATGAGGGCAGTAATCAGAGGCAATGTATCAGAATGGAGAAATGTCACAAGTGGAGTACCACAGGGTTCAGTTCTTGCCCCAGTGATGTTTATTGTGTACATAAATGATCTACCAGTTGGTATACAGAATTATATGAACATGTTTGCTGATGATGCTAAGATAATAGGAAGGATAAGAAATTTAGATGACTGTCATGCCCTTCAAAAAGACCTGGACAAAATAAGTATATGGAGCACCACTTGGCAAATGGAATTTAATGTTAATAAATGTCATGTTATGGAATGTGGAATAGGAGAACATAGACCCCACACAACCTATATATTATGTGAGAAATCTTTAAAGAATTCTGATAAAGAAAGAGATCTAGGAGTGGTTCTAGATAGAAAACTATCACCTGAGGACCACATAAAGAATATTGTGCAAGGAGCCTATGCTATGCTTTCTAACTTCAGAATTGCATTTAAATACATGGATGGCGATATACTAAAGAAATTGTTCATGACTTTTGTTAGGCCAAAGCTAGAATATGCAGCTGTTGTGTGGTGCCCATATCTTAAGAAGCACATCAACAAACTGGAAAAGGTGCAAAGACATGCTACTAAGTGGCTCCCAGAACTGAAGGGCAAGAGCTACGAGGAGAGGTTAGAAGCATTAAATATGCCAAAACTAGAAGACAGAAGAAAAAGAGGTGATATGATCACTACATACAAAATAGTAACAGGAATTGACAAAATTGACAGGGAAGACTTCCTGAGACCTGGAACTTCAAGAACAAGAGGTCATAGATTTAAACTAGCTAAACACAGATGCCGAAGAAATATAAGAAAATTCACCTTCGCAAATAGAGTGGTAGACGGTTGGAACAAGTTAAGTGAGAAGGTGGTGGAGGCCAAGACCGTCAGTAGTTTCAAAGCGTTATATGACAAAGAGTGCTGGGAAGACGGGACACCACGAGCGTAGCTCTCATCCTGTAACTACACTTAGGTAATTACTTCTGGAGGGAAAGACAAGGAGTGGCCTAATAGCCCTAATCAAGGCCCAGGTCCGAACCCGGGACGGAAACAGGTGGAATGGCCTCCAGATCACCAGGAAACCAAACCCGGCGATCTGGAAAGAACCACACCCCTGGCGAGCAGACAAGAGGACCGACTGGGAGCCCACACCAGCCAGTCGTCGAGGTAGGCCAGACACCGAATCTCAAGCAGACTCAGACAGGGCACCAAGATCCGGTAAAGGTGCAAAAAAAACAAAAACCACCAAGTGCCAATAATTGACCTGGAGGTCCAGGGCCACCATCCAAGCACCCGGCTCCAACAGAAGCCGGACATGAGACAACAGTCCTCCGAGGAGGGCATAGAAACCAGGGCGCAGACTTAAGAAGTCCAGAAGAACTGCAGATTTGAAGGCCCATGTCTGCAACACCCACCAAGATGACATGACGAAGCACAGGGAAAGAAGCCCACCCCTCCAGCTCTGAACCCCCCAAAGGGGGAGAAGCCGTCCACCGCCGCCACCAGAGGCCAGAAGACAACCAAAAGCGCTCACCAACAGCAGGACCATACGAGAGTCAACGGAGCAAGCTGCTCCGCCAGCGCCCCGTCAACAGAGAAGGGAACAGAGCCCGTTCCGAAAGATAAAGTACACATACACGTATATACATATCATGGATGTACACATGCACATACACACAAGGTATGTGACACACGTGCGTATGCACATACACATGTGCACACACACACACACACAGTGTACATATGTACATGCGTACACATACACTTGAAAAGAAAATTTCAAGCCGCCGGCCAGGCAAAGAAGGCACAAAACTGCATCAAAAGGCCCACCTCGACAAAACCTCAAAGTCCCAGCACGACCACAACACATGCCAAGACCCAAAAAGATCAGTCGGCAAGCCAGGAAGACCCCGGAACTCCAGAAGGCAGAAACCGGGTCACACATGAGGAAACAAAGCCCCCAGAACCCACAAAGGGGCCCAAGAGGAAGAAACCTCCGGAACGAAACCAAAGAACCCAAAGGAACCCGGAATCGAACCAGGGGGAGGCCAAACCACCACATTTTGCTAGCAGAGAAACACCACAGAAAGGCAAAGCACAGCCCCCAGACAGAACCCCCTGGGAAAACGGTCATAACAGACCGAAAACCGAGGGACAAGGTGTGGGAGCAAGCATAACAACCAGGGGACACTGAGCCCAAACCCAAAGGCCCAGACCCAAAACAGACAAAATGGAAAACCCGGTGTAAAATCAACACTCAAACGTTCCCAGAGGAACAGGCAACGGGCAGAAAACACCAGAAAAGCAAAGAAACAACAACAGAATAAAAACCCCTGAAAGAAGGTGAGAACTCGCCCAATAAGCTCGCTCGCACACCCAGTCGCATGTAAACAAACCGCAACGCCGCCCTGGTGGCCACGCTGGGGAACCGGCAGACGAAAATGGCCGCCAGCAGGGGCTGTGACTGACGCTAATGATACAAAAACACGCCAGCAAAAGTGGGAAGCAAGCAGACTGGATGGGCAAAAACCGCTGCCCAAAAGCAGAAAACCCAGGCAGGGGTAAACCGCCCCAGAATTGCTAGCAGGCATCCCCCACAGCCCCGGGAACCAACAACAGAGGCCCCGGGGCAGAGCCGTCCTCTAAGCCCTCCGCCCTTAAAGAAAAGCAAAAGTCCATGGGAAAGGCAGCAAGAAAGGGCCACTGGTAAGACCCAGAAGCCTTAGCATGAGGAACCGGCTCGAAAACCTCCGTCCCCCAACCCAAACAGGGCAGCCCCCGAAAACCGCCCGAGTCTCGGCCCCAACTAAACCCCACCTCGACCCCGAAACCCGCAGACGGTACAGAGCCAGGAACAGGGAGGGAAAGGGGCGAACAGCACCTAACCAAAACAGGGCGGCCTCGGGGCATCCGAATGGGAAACCAACCTAGCATGTTGCAGCAACCTAACCTAGCTTGCAACACGGATGCTGCCTGTACTCTGAACAGTAATAACATCAGGAGAGTACTGGAGAACAAGCAGAGAAAATCTCTCGCAAGACTTCGGGTCAAGGTGTCAGTGACCCAACAGGCAGCATGACGGAGGTAAAAGTGGGGACTCACCCGGAGACAAGAGCACAGCAACCAACGATCCCGTACAAGACGAGTTGGAACCCGGAAGACACATTCAATGGTCCCCCGAGCCCAGATGGGTTTCCAGGGCCCGTAGGCTGACTGCTACGGGAAGCCCGGGCAAGGTGTTGCTACACCACTGAAAACCCCCCCCGAGACGTGTACAATCACGGGGGCCTAGCAGAGGGCCGCCAAACACTACCAGTGGAACTATAGCCACACTAGGCAGACCCCCACCAGGCATGAAAATAAAAACAGAAAAACCCTACAAAAGTACACCGTCTCCAGAGGCAACAGGAACCGGTTGCCGCTTAGGTGGCAGGCTGTGCAACACCTTGACACCCTAACCAGCACAACACCAATCCCTACCCAGGGCCAAACAAGGGCCCCTAGCCCCAGCTGGCCCCAAGTGCAAGGCAAATACCGAGCAGCAAGAACCTCTACGGGAATGGTTCCTGAACGCCCCAGGGAAGATAACCCTGTTACGCAAGGGCAGTACTCACCGGGCGCTTAGGGAAGTCAGTCACTAAGCGCATGCAGCCCCGGCACTGATGAGGTACTCCTGGCCACCGCACAACACAACACACGGCAGTGAACGCCACACAAGGCAAACACCGCCTAGGAAACTGAGGCCAGAGAAGCGTATATCCCGGTTGACATTAGCTTAGAACTGAAGCTTGGCAGCTGGCGCGGTAGGTCCGGGGCGGGGAGGGCTGTGTGGACGATCGGAGCGGCAGTAAAGTGTGATGTTTGCTTGTTTGTTTCCTTGGGATTGTAGGGAGTTTCTACCTCTCTGTTCTGTTTTTGTTTTAGTTTTTTACCATGTGGGGTTTGTTTTGTCATGCCTACCTTTCTGGGTGCCTGACCCCGGTCGATGGCAGATAAGGAAAACCCCAACCACAAGAGGGTTTTCCAGTGCCATTGCTCCCTGAAACCTCTCTGAAGGGGCCAGGTTCTGGCACTGGTCCCTGGTAGGTCTGAACTCCTTAGCTAATGTCCCGGTCTAATATAACATACATTAGCCCGATAAGCTCCAGGGAGCCGTAGGGGCTCCCCACAGAAAGGAGGAAATAAGGCCGAGGCAAAAATTTACAGACCGATAGCACTAGCATCACACACACAAATCTTTGAAAGATTGAATGTTAGTAAGCAACGGGGACACCCAATATTGTGGATCCTTTGAACTGTGATGTGAATGTTTGTAAGCAACGGGGACACCCGATATTGTGGATCCTTTGAACTGTGATGTGAATGTTAGTAAGCAACGGGGACACCTGATGGTGTGGATCCTTGAGATCGAGATGCTTACTAACATTCACAACGGGGACATCCGATAGTGTGGATCCTTGGGACCGTGATGTGAATGTTAGTAAGCAACGGGGACACCCGATATCCTTTGGACTGTGATGTGAATGTTAGTAAGCAACAGGGACACCCAATATTGTGGATCCTTTGACTGATGTGAATGTTAGTAAGCAACGGAATGTTAGTATGCAACGGTAAATATCATTAAGACTGGTAGCGTGTCCACCTGTGAAAGTTATGAATGCCCGCATAGAAAAGTTGACCTGCACTCTGGTATACTATTTTGAGTATTTTTGTAAGAATAGCTTTAAAAACTATATATTTTACTTTTAGCGAGGGGTAAATCTATCTGTAATTGAAATGTGGGGAGTAAATGCTGCTTATTTATCCCTGTAACAGGAGAGGTAGAAAGTCTGCATTAAATGGTAGAAGCTTAACAAAGGAACATGTTATCAACAGCAGACAATATGCTGTTGGTAAATAATAGATGTTATAGCCACTTTGTCATAAATTTCATAGAACTGTTACTTTTTACAGATAGCGACATTGAACAAAGAGCTTTCTTCATTGAAGACTAATTTGTCTTCCTGTGAGAAAGATTTGGCAAGTTTAAATAATAAAACTTCACACTTAGAGGAGAGTAATCATCACTTGGAGGAGAAGGTGGTGGAACTCATGGCCGAGATTAGTGACAGAGAAGCTGAACACATTATCAAGTATGTACATTAAAGTATTCTGAAAGTAATTGTTCTAGTAAAAAAGTCATGTTCTATGTTATTATAACCCTAAAAGGTTGTAAGAATACATGTCTGGAAGGAAGCACTCGGTAGCTCCCAAAGCTCAACCGGTACCACCACACCTCTTAGACTCATCAGCCACCAGGTGGTGTGCCCAGAATCTGGCAGACTTACTTAGCTTATAAGTTATAGTTATAGTACAGTTCAGGCACACTAAGGCAATTGTTAAATAGAAGTGTATCATGAAGAATAATTACTGTTGTTAGAACAAGGAGAGGGAAAATGGAAAGATATCTGCTGGAAATTTACTTGGCGTGCCAACATCACAGGTTTTTCCAGACCATTTCTGGATTTTGCTTATACAATCGATAATTTTATTATATATATTGTATAATGGTTAGAAATGGCATAGTACTTATCTTTTAGATAGATGTTTTAAAGCAAAAGCCACTTGACCTTGAACATACTAATACTTTTAATAAGCCACATCTCGTATTGTTACTGATTATGTAACTGTGTCCCAGTGGCTAGAAGTAGTCTACACAAACTGTCTATTTAATACTGATTGTTGTTATACATGCACACAAGTACGGTACCTGGTGTAGTGATTCCTGTGTGTGTAGCATATTTCAATTAATAAGATTGCACGTGTTATGAATTTATTCTGTGAAGTCATTCAGTTTTTTCGTATATGGGGCAGTTTATAATACGCTCCAGAAGGAGTTGAAAAAAATAATTACATATCAGAACCTGGTCAAGAAACTTCTGATATACAGTACCAGGTCTTTATCAGATTTGTCAGCTGGTCATACTGTACTAGAGCTGGGTGTATGTGGAGGAGCTCCTTGATGGCTCCCCAAAGCTGTCGTATTGATATTACTCCTGCCTTCCGAGTCGTCATAATTATAATATCAGTTTGATATATGAATACTGTATATGAATAATAATAATAATCATGTCAGTTATGGGAGTTGTATTTGGCTTACTGGTAACCAGGTACAGAACCAGGTACCCCCTCAGAGGCACACAGTGAGTGAGTGACATTCCACCAGCCCACTGGGAGGGCATCCAGGAAGTCGGCGAAGCAATACAGATACAGAAGTGCCAGATCAACCAGGCTGTAGTGGATATGTGGGCCTGCGGGCTGCTCCAAACAACAGCCTGTTGGACCAAATTAACATAAGTCAAACCTGGTCTCGGGCCAGACTTGTGAAGTAGAACTACTCCAGAGACCCTCTCCAGGTATGCTCCAGATAACTGCAAGGTTCACGGGTACTGAAGCCTCAAACTGCCAAGTAGTTCACCAAACAATTCAAATGAAATTATTAAATCACTTAGCACTAATGGGTTCAAGCTAGTTTCAACAAGCCACCATCAGGGTGGCGAGCCTCAGTCCTCCGCCAAGTCTGATCTGTCACTGATGTGTCAACACCACCAGTTTAGTGCTGCTGGTTGCCAGTGGTTGTGGTAGATTTCCCCTGCTTCTCGGGCAAGTGGCAGCCATCCATGGACGTCGTCCATTTGGACCATATTCTTGTGTATTGAGCCTTTTTGGGCATTTGCTTCATTTTCGTGGTTTTCTTCCCAACTTGTGTTGATTTGGCTCGTTTTGCATTTTGAGCTGCATCTATTCAGGCTGTACTTCCCTGGGTGCTCATTAGTACTGCCCCTGCACTGTCAGTTGCTTCTCTAGTATATTTGCAAGTTCACCCAAGTTATGTGTCCTTTGTTTCCGTGTTAGTTTTTGTTCTGAGATCCTGCTTCTAAAATGGAAGCATATCAGGCAGCTGCCACTTTATGGGTGCGTTATGCTCGTCTTCAGCATTCTTGGCTTTGTGCCCGTTACTTTACCATTGATGATTGTGGGGAAGGGGGAAGTTAGTCCTTATTATGTTTATGGACCTTGAATTTTGAAGTGTTGGTGAATTCCACCGTGGCTCCAGCAATGCCTTTTTTCCCCTCCCCTGCTGCTTTGGTACACCCTGGCTTCTGTGCTCCCGTAAATTTTTCTTATCTCGTTCTATGTGCACGTTTCATTACTCCATAGTTCCCCCCCCCTCTCTTCTCCTTCCCCCAAGGTTCATTTCCGGACGCCATATGGCCCTTTGGATTTTTGTTTCTCGAGGTTTCATTCCTCCCAAGTTCTGCCTTTGGTAGCTAGTGTAGATCATTTTCAGTACCTCTGAGGAATTAATTCTTCGCTTCATTTATGGACCGCACCTCATTTGCGTTTGGATCTGCTAGCCTTTTTGGCTGTGTTATGAGATCCTTTATTCATCCTGGCTGCCTGACAGTTCTCTCTTCCTTGGAACTGGCAGGGCTTCTGCCGTAGTCGTACGCTTGAATGGCAGGAGCATTGAACATCCTTCGGGTGTTCTTGAGCAGCCCCCCCTTTTTCGCCGCTTGAGGATTGCCTGTTTGCTCCTGTTTTTTCCAAGGATGTGGGCAAGTGGCAGCTACATGTGCAGCTGCCTCTGCTTTCTGAAACCCTTTCTGTAGATGACCACAGAGCTCGTACACACTTGGCAACAGTTTTTGGCCCCCTACTGGAGCTTTTTACTGCCTGGTTCTACAAGGACAGGATTTACTCGGCTTAGTTCTGGGTGTGGAACCCATGTTGCCTGCTGTTTTGGCGGCCTTGCCCAAGTAGTTGCCACCCATTCGTCAGGAGGCAGTGATGGCATTTTATTCGGCTTGGTCCTTAGCCCCTTTTGTCTGCCTCCTCCTTTTTGGCCTCTCCTCTTCGCAGAGGATATCGTTTCTCAGTTCCTTCGTTTGACTTTGCAATATGTTTAGTTGCGCTGAGGTGGACCTCTTTGCATCAGTGTGCATCAGGCACCTCACCGCCAATGTGGCTTCATTCTCAATTGTGAGGCATTTGCGTGGATGCCTTTCAACAGGACTGGTAGTTAGTTCATTTACTTATCTACTCTGGTTCACTTCGTGCTTAGTTCTTTCCAGACCCAATTCTTTCTTGGGTAGGGTGGTCCTTTGGGCTCCTTGGTTTCTGGTTCTTTTGCCTTGGTGTCCGAACCCTGGGCATTTTTCCACTGCTCTGCCTGTCTGCAGAGCGACCTGGCGACATACATATGGTGGGAAAGTGCCTTGCTGGCTCAAACTTTTGGTCTTCTTGGCATGTCTCTATTGTTATTTGTATAGTGAGGACGTTGCTGGTTTTATTCATGCCCCTACCTGCTCCTGTCTTCACGGGATCATTATAAAGTAGTTTTGTGGTCATTTTGCTTGCATCCATCTGTCATCTTTGATCTTAGTTCAGGTTGTGTTCTTGCATTGTGTCCATACCCCTTTGGTGCCATTCTACAAGTTGTCTTGGGCATTTTTACACCTCTGACCGGTTCATACTGCTCCTGAGCCACCCTGGTTGCTTGACTGGGTTCTCGACTTTCTCTCCATGATTTTCTGCTTCCTCTACGGTCTAAGGTTAGCTTTCTCAAGGTGGTGTATTTATTGGCTCTTGCCTCCAGTTGTTGGGTTGGGGAAGCTTCATGCTGTTCTCCGGAGACGGGGGTTTTGCTAGTTTAACCAGGTTAGCCAAATTGTTCGTTTAAATTTTGCTGCTGCTCTTCTGATGAAGAATGAGTTGGCTAGCTTCTTGAGGGGGTCCTTTGTGATTGATAATTTGGAGTTTGTCTGAGGGTGCATCATTTGTTGTGTTCAGTGCCGACTTTTCGCTGCTACCTAAATGCCATTGATTCTTCCTGGTTGGATGCTCTGTGGATTGGTCCCATTTCCTTGGTCCCCTGTACCAAGGTTCTCATTTTTCAGGTTGTCCATTGTGTTATTAATTCTAGGCAGTCTACCATCAGGTCAATGAGTCTTGGAAATGAGCTGTGCTGGTTGTTGTGCTTTCCAACATGTCCAGGGTTGACATTCAGGCTTCAGAATTTTGGCAGTCTAACAGGGTGATGGTGGCGTGTTATTTAGTCAATGTTCCTGGGTCCATTTCCTGTTTTGTTCTGGGTCATGTTTCTTGGCATCTTGTTTCTCCTTTGCCTTACTACCCCTTTCTCCTCCCCTTCCCTGGTAAATGCCTTGTTTTTATTCTCCATGGTTAGTTAGCTGAAGAGAGCCATCAGGGGGCTTCTCGAGAAACCTGGTGCTGAATGTAATGCAATGCTTCTTTTTGGATTGTGCCCTGGTGGCCTTCTGACACGCTTCATCAGTTGGTGAATGTGGGTTTCCTCTGCTCCAGAATTGACTTGTTGATTTGGCAGTTTGTTGGTACTAATGTGTTTGAGCTAGATTCAAGTGACTGGATTGTTTCATTTGAATTGTTAAGCAGTCTTCTGGGGGCTTCAGTTCCTGTGAACCTTGCAGTTGTCAGTATTGCTTCATGGACTTTCTGGATGTTTTCCATGTGGGGTGTTGGAATCCATTTGTTTCCTGCACCTCTGTGATGGTGGGGGTGGGGGTTGGAGGCAGGTTCAGGCTTCGATTCCAGTAGGCCAAATTGAACTCCTGCCAATGTGGCCTAGTAGACAGGAGCAATCTCGGCGAGATATCTTCTGGAAGCCACCGGGTCGCAATCCAGAAAGAAACATTTCAATACATTCAGTATTGTTTGACTACATTATTTTAGATTTTTTTTTTACAAAACATTTGCCATATAGAAGATTATAAAACTACCCTCTACTTGTTCTTTTATATAGGGTAAATCGCATTGAAAGTGAACTGGATGATTTGGGTGTGAAATATTCCGAAGCTCTTCTAGATCACGAGGCTACACGCAGAGTTCTCACTCAGACCTCGGAGCAGCTCGAGAAGGAGAACCTACTCCGCATGGCATCAGAGGCAGACATCCAAAGCTTGAAGGAAGAAGTTGCCAAGTATACAGAAGAGAACAAGATAATGGAGTCTAACCTAAAGGATTTGGTTCAGAAATATACTAACCTGGAAGATGCTTTAGGTAAGACTATACTGTACTTTTAAATTAATGCATGACAGTATTCACACACATACTGTATACATACTGTGCACTCTTGAGTGTATGGCACTCCATTCCTATAAACGTATCCTCTTACAACATGGATTTTAAGATTGTGTAGAAAGTTAAGGTGAATTCACACATTAAGAATTTTTCACTTCAAAAATGTATTTGATGTACTGTAAGATGGACCATATAAAGACTAAATAAAATATTGAAAAAATACTGTAAAACGGTTAATATGGCTTATAATCAAAAGGCTAATCAGTCATTATTCCTTGTTGTCATGCAAGTTTACATATGGCTTGGCATCTTGTCAAGTCTGGTTATTAATTTTAAATTTGTTTGAATCAATACAGTACTTTACATAGGTTTTATATAGTGATTTACATATAAGAAATATTGTGGGAACAACCGTGGACATCTTCAAGAGAAAACTAGATGATTTTCTAAAAAAGAAGTGCTGGACCACCAACTGGGCTATAGTGGATATGTGGGCCTGCAGGCCATTCCAAGCAACAGTCTGGTGGACCAAACTCTCACAAGTCAAGTCTGGTCTCAGACCGGGCTTGGGGGAGTAGAAGTACTCCCAGAACCCGCCCATCAAGCAGGTTAACTGACATGCTAAATGACTGGCAGATAAAAAAGTTTGGATGAGCAGGTCTACTGGCTAGTAGTAGACCTGTTCATTCACAGAATGCTGGCAGGCATTCTGTAAGGGATGGGATTGACAATAAATTATACTCAAATGTACACAATGTGTATAGATTAATATATGTTCTGTCTATGGCAGAAGTTGTCCATGTGTGCACTGAATAGAAATGTGTACAAGTAAGTTATATATAATATGTAATGGTTATTTTAGCTGAACAGTACTTAGTCTTCCTGACTTGGTGCCTTCTTTCATTATTTTATTAATCCTTTGAGGTGGTGAAGATCAAGGTCAAAATTACTTAGACAATTATTTTCACAAATGCTTTATACTAAAGACAAGTAGACTATTTCAGTATTGTACTGTGTTCCCTGACACAAATAGCATGGCAGATATTACAATGTACAGTCAGCAAGCACCTTATTAATGGACTGACAACACGGTATAAAGCCCCAACAGTGTTTTGATCTGAACAATCAATAACTACCTTGTTATAATCTGACAATACCAGTATCAAGCACCAAGTGCAGTGTGTATAATTAAACTTTGTACATTAATATTTAAATATTCATACTGTAGATATTTTAAACGGATGAGCCTATTAATTTAACACTTTGGCGTACCCAGCGCGCCACCCCTCAACTGTGCGATTTGGGTCCCAGCGTTTCACGGGAGCGCGCGTTAATTCTGAAAAGTGTATACTCTCCAACTTTGTCACCTCAATTCTCGTCCCACACAGATTAAATTTGGTATCATTGTGTTCGCAATAGAATTCTCTACAGCACTAAATGCATATAAACTCCAAAAGCCCGGCTAATTACCCGCAGCAAACAGAGAAAGTGCGAAAGAGTTACCCAGGATCGCGCAAAAGCGATAAAATGTGTTCACTCTTTTCACTCTGGTCACCTAAATTTTCGTCCTAGGTCTTTCATTTTAGTATCAATATGCAGGCGATTATTAATACTGTAGTATCAATGGGTTCGCAATAGAATTCTCTAGAGGAATATTAGCATATAAAATAAAAAACCTGGTCACGCTCCACCCGCCGACGTGTTGAAGACGGGCCACGTGTTATCCGCGAGTGAGCGCCCAGACGCCTTCCAGCTACACTCCCAATTCCTGCCCACAAATGTTTAGTATTTAGTATATTTAGTATTATAGTTTAATATTTTTTGTGTAGTAGTTGTACATCACATAAGCATTGTAGATAGCCATTTTCACAAAATAGAAGGTCATTTTCTTCGTCCATTTGTGAGTTTTCCTTATGAAGTGATAATATTTGATCATTTGGTCAAAGTGATCAACACCTTTCATGTTTGTATTGTAGTCACAGATTGCATTCGGCTTGTTGACAGTTACCAAACAGTCCCCCAAAAATCGAATAAAAACCTGATTTTTGGCGATTATTTTAGTGGACGACGCAGCATTGCGTCATGCTCGTGATTACCGACAGTAAACAGATGACGCAGCATTGCGTCATGCCCGGGCAAAAGTGTTAACCCATATAGACTCAACATTGCTACTGGCTATACTAGTTAAAACAAATTATACCAATAATAAGAAACGCCTAAAACGATCAAGAGAATATGCACATGGACATATTGTAATTTGCTGGCAGAAACTGGTGTTAAAGAAGCCACAACACCAAGCCTCACTAGTTGGAGATCTTTGATCTGTAACACCCCCCCCCCTTTCCCGCCCTTCGTGTACCATATGCAGAGCAATGGTGAGAACACAGGCTTCAACACCCACTACTTACACATTTCCAGTAGTATATTTATCCTTCACAAATTATAAAGTCTTATTTACTTAGACTGAAATGAGCCCCTCTCTTCATGCTCGCTTACATCATCGTTGTGGGAAATTTAAGGTGGGTATTTTTATTATTTGGCCCAGATACAAATGCAAAACCTTACTATGCATGCATCTCGACTGGTTGGCTGCCATATTTAAACTTTGGTCCACCGTTCAATAGTTTGAAAAATGTCTTTGGATTACAAAAGTTTTCAGTTCTTATTATCTGCTGATAGGACAGTATGCAGTATAGAGTAATTTACAGTATATTAGTTTTGTAATATGTTAATTACTTTGAGATATTCAGTCTTAACATAAAGCTGATGCCAATAGTTTTTCATATATATGTCTATTTTGTTTAAGCTTGTGAGGAGGCAGAGAATCGTGACCTTGAAGACCGACTGGAAAGAGAGGTGCGACTGGCACAGGAAGCGGCAGCAACCGCACAGAAGGATCTGACTAGTTTGCAAACATCAAATTCCGGCTTTTGCATTCAGATAACACAGCTCAAGGTATATTTAAATTACCAGATATTAATACAGAATATTTAATGATGTTTTCAGTTTATTGATAGGGTTTATAGAATTTAATACTGTATATTACAGAATTGAAGTTCACATTTAGCAATCATTATGGAACTGTTGTTGTAACATTGTTTAAGAATTAGTACGAGTGGTAAAATGTACACTTGACCTCACCCATAACATTCTTGCTTATTTGCTAGCGAAAACTTATGAACTTTTAGAGATTTAGAATGCAAGATGTAACTGGACTTTGTGGGATGGAAGGAGCACATGACACGACCTTCAAATTAAAGTAGGTCACTCAGAATGTAACAAGGAATTAAATGTGCCAAAAGTGGTGTGATGGATTATGCAAAGGTGCCTTTAGTTTCTACTGTTGTCAGGTAACTGACCTCCTTGTGTCGTCTTTAATCTAGTCTTTGTATATTAACATGACATTTCTTCCGTTAGATTGATATGCGGAAAAAGTCACAAGCGGTTGAAGAGATGCAGCAGTGTATAGAGGCATTGCGCGAGGAGAAGTTGCACCTGACAACTCTGCGAGACAATTTAGAAAAGACCGTGGAATCTAAAGAGGATGCCATTAATAAGCTACATCTTGAAGCATCTACACTGGAGCGGGAGATGGAGGAAGAGCGTGTGACCCTCAGGTCAAGAATTGGCGATCTTGAAAATCATCTTAAGGAATCGGAAGATAAAGTTGCCAATGATGAAAGAGTTGTAAGTTTCTTAATCTCTTTATATACATCATTACCACAATTGTGATAATAGTGCTACATAGTCTCCCTGGCTTTGTACCTTTCATTGATACACAATTCCCTCATTCATGAGGTCGGAGAGCCTCTAAAACACTAAGAATATCACATTTCAGTTTATCATTTACGTGACAATACTGTACAGTACAACCTCGTTTCACCGTACTATATGGGACCAACCCCAGTATGTTGGAGTGTTGAATTCGTTGTAAGAGGTGACCTTCAGGAGGCGTGGGAGTCAGTCTTCTTTTTTTTCTTTCTTGTACATAATAAAAATGCATTAGCATATTACATACTGTACCTATATATTACTACTCTACTAAAAAATACTGTTACATTTGTTATTTACCTTTAGGGAGAGAGCATTTACCATTTGTTAGGGAGCTGGTCGGCCGAGTGGACAGCACGCGGGACTTGTGATCCTGTGGTCCCGGGTTCGATCCCGGGCGACGGCGAGAAACAATGGGCAGAGTTTCTTTCACCCTATGCCCCTGTTACCTAGCAGTAAATAGGTACCTGGGTGCTAGTCAGCTGTCACAGGCTGTTTCCTGGGGGTGGAGGCCTGGTCGAGGACCGGGCCGCGGGGACACTAAAGCCCCAAAATCATCTCAAGATAACCTCAAGATAGATAACCTTATTGTTGGAGTTCTGTCCATCTTGAAGTCTCATGGAGCTGTGAATGGTGTACAGTAAATACATACTATATTATGCCGTTAGCACTGTGTTAAGTAATTCTGCTGTATGTTGAGTACTACAATACAGTTTGAAACCTATTTTACACTAAAATTTCTGTACTGCAACCTTAATTTGAACACTAACACCATGTACTTAAATTTAACATTTATTCTAACTGTACACTCCTCACACGATGTTCTTAGATGTTTGCATCAGCTTTGCTGGTGCTCGCTGCTTCTGTGTTTGCTTCAGCGGCTTCTGAGCTGGTGCTGGCTGCTGTTATACCAGTGCCGGGGTACGGCTGTGCTCGTGCTGGGGTACGGCTGTGCTCGTGCTGGCGTACGGCTGTGCTCGTGCTGGGGTACGGCTGTGCTTGTGCTGGCGTACGGCTGTGCTCGTGCTGGCGTACGGCTGTGCTCGTGCTGGCGTACGGCTGTGCTCGTGCTGGCGTACGGCTGTGCTCGTGCTGGGGTTAATATGCGTCACTTCTTGTGTGGACCATGTCATGACCAGGAGCTGGTCGGCCGAGCGGACAGCACACTGGACTTGTGATCCTGTGGTCCCGGGTTCGATCCCGGGCGCCAGCGAGAAATGATGGGCAGAGTTTCTTTCACCCTATGCCCCTGTTACCTAGCAGTAAAATAGGTACCTGGGTGTTAGTCAGCTGTCACGGGCTGCTTCCTGGGAGTGGAGGCCTGGTCAAGGACCGGGCCGTGGGGACACTAAAAAGGCCCCGAAATCATCTCAAGATAACCTCAAGATAACCATTCTGGCTGATGTTTGGTTCATATGGTTCACTTGTGTTGTCCACTTGTGTGATCCAACTTGTCTCATGAAGGAATTATTAATTGTAATCTGTGATAGGATGAGACAGTTTTCCACCACTCTGTGAACTCTGTCCCAACATCGTAAGCTTGTGGACCACTTGTGGACCACTTGTGTGATCCACTTGTGTGGCCCACTTGTGTGATCGAACTTGTCATATGAGCGAATTATTAATTGTAATCTGTGATAGAATGGGAAAGTTTTCCACCAGTTTGTGAACTGTCTCGACATCATAAACAAATCCGAACACTCCCCGCTTCGGCGAACGATTGTTCGTCGAACCGGGTGAGTAAATCTGTCCTGAAAAGTGTGCGATCGAGCCAGAGATTCATTAAATCGGGCTACCTTGAATTGAGGTTGTACTGTATAGGGGGGCCTGACAGCTGAGCGGACAGCGCTTGGGATTCTTAGTCCTGAGGTTCCAGGTTCAATCCCTGGTGTAGGCAGAAACAAATGGGCAGTTTCTTTTACCCCAATGCGCCTGTTCACCACCTAGCAGTAAATAGGTACCTGGGAGTTAAACAGCTGTTACGGGCTGCATCCTGGGGTCGTATAACAAAAAGGAAGCCTGGTCGAGGATCTGGCTGTGGGGACGTTAAGCCCCCGAAATCATCTCAAAGTAACCTCAAGGTAAGGTAACTTTTATCCACAAACCATACAGGAGAATTGGGGTAGAAAAGACATGACTACAAAAGACATTGAGGGTAATAGACAAGCGTCTTGTCATTGAGAGACTAGGGCATACAGTTGATGAAGGCTGGAAATATAAGAGTTCAAGAAACGTAAGAAATTGCCCGTACCCCTCTTAAGGTGGGCAACACACACAATCCACTGAAATAATCCTGGAAGCCACGTCCCACAACCATATACAGGCCAGATACAGCAGTAAGCTTGATTGTCAGCTAGGTTATATGAAACTCGACATTTATGATTGTTACGTGCTGCCTATATTGGCTCGTGAATAGCTTGGTATTCCCTGAAATATCCCAAAAATCTCCAGTGCACAAGGATAATGGCTGGAGGAGAATGAGACACTTATTAGTGTATTCACTAGTAATATAATGAGGTACAACATACAAATACATTCATACTACACTTAAGGTTATGGAAATGTGACTGGTCCTGAATACTGGACCAATGTCAGGTTAACTCAAGCAAATTAAAAAAAATGGCTAACTCACTCTTCACTAGGAATCACATATGAAGCACCTGATGAACTGAAACCAGTTTCCCAACTTAACCATATTTACTTAACCCTTGTGATGCTCAGGGCTAATTAGCATTTGTCACCCACAGGCACATACCAAAAAAAAAAATTTCTATTAAACCTGTTAATTTGTGTTCTCTTATCATGGGAAAAATAATAAAAAAATCATAAGTGGCATATATTGCCAGCTATAGGGCGGCGAAGTCTGGCAAAAAAAAAAAAAAAGGCGCTGACTCGACGTGCGTCCCAGATGGTCTGTTGCTCCCAGCTGTCAGGCAGGCTTGGCCACAAAGAGATAATTACCTAATTATTTCAATGTCTCTGATTGATTTTTCGTAGTTTTTTTTTGCTGTAATATTATTCAATAGTGTGTAGTAATATATTTATATAATAAAATGAGTGAATCATCACTATACTCAAAAATATGGTGTGCATATTGTTGATTCAATTATGTTCATCAGACAGTGAACAAATACTTTGTCGGTTATTACACTATATACACAGGTTATATATAAGTATCTGCATGTTTTGTTCACCATAACGAACCACTAAGTTGGTATTATGAGTCAAAAAGCAACGAGGAGTGACCGCCACACACCAGCCTGCCACTCACTGCCACTCACTCCCTTAACACCTCACTTGCCCACATTCTCCTCCCACCATACTGTTTTTGCTTTTATTCAATATATAGACATTATATATAAGTATCTACATTCGTGTTCACTATAACGAACCACTAAGTTGGCATGCTGAGTGGCAGTGCCAGCCAGTGGCAGCCCGCCACTGGCTGCTACTTCCTCCCTCCCTCCCTCAACTCACCTGACTCGCCCACATTCTCTTCCCACAATACTGTTTTTGCTTTTATTCACTATATACAGATGTTATATATATGTATCTACATGATTTGTTCACCACAACTGTACAACTAAGTTGAAATAGTTAGTTCAGGCACTATAGAGACGTCGCTACACACAGGTGGCAGCTGCTTCCCTCACACATTCAAGGTCAGACGCACTAAATATTTCACCCCAACAATACTGTTTGTGGTGTTATGTTGCAACCCGTTCTCGCAAATTTAATAAGTCAATATTGACTTATTAAATATGTGCATAGGTGACATACTTAACATAATAGTTTCCCTCGAAAAGCTTCATAGAAAACACCGACCTTACCTAACCTACTTAGTATGTTAATATATGCATCTTATTGCTTCGTAATTACAATTATTACCTAACCTATACCTATAATAGGTTAAGTAACAATTGTAATTACGAAGCTATAAGATGCTTATTTTAACATACTAAGTAGGTTAGGTAAGGTCGGTGTTTTCTATGAAGCTTTTCAAGGGAAACTATTATGTTTAGTATGTCACCTATGCACGCAACTAATAAGTCAATATTGACTTATTAAATTTGCAAGAACGGGTTGTATTACCCTATATACAGACGTTATATATAAGTATCTACATGTTTAGTTCACCGTAACTGTTCAACTAAGCCGGTATAATGCCCAAAGAGCATAGTGGCCACCCCTACCAACATGACAAATCATGCAGATGTTGCCACACCCATCACCAAAATGGCTTCTCCCCCACACTCCTTTTGCTGTTATTACACTGTATATACACGTTATATATAAGTACTGTATCTACATTTGTGTTCACCATAATGAACCACTAAGTTGGTATGCTGAGTGGCAGTGGCAGCCCGCCACTGGCTGCCACTCCCTCCCTCCCTCACCTCACCTGACTCGCCACCATTCTCCTCCCATTATACTGTTTTTGCTTTTATATACTGTACAGATGTTATATATAAGTATCTGCATATTTTGTTCACCATAGCGAACAACTAAGCTGGTATAGTAAGTCCACAGTAAAAGGTGGTCACACAGTCAGCAGACAATGCTACCTCCCTCCCCACCAAGATTACTCCTCCCACTACAGCGCTAATTATCACAACAATCCTGCTATTATCAGAATCCTGGTCATTTTTATCCCAATCAGGGGTCTGCTGTAATAATATAATCGCTAAATAATAGCATGAATATGTATATTTTGGCATTTTAAGGCGATGCTGTGGTCACAAGCTGAACAGCAGTGCTGTGAGCTCATGCTGCATGTGTCAGGCTTGGTTGCTCACTCAATACTGAGGCCCTCACATCTGGGAATTTCGCCCACGATTTTTTTTTAAATGGCGTCTGTCTACAAGAGCCTTGATGAAGGTAATTACCTAAGTGTAGTTACAGGATGAGAGCTACGC